GGAGAGGAGGCGCCCGGGGATGTGGGCCGCGGGTCACCCGAGGTCAGGGCTCCGGGGCTTGGGGGGAGTCCGGATCCGAGGGTCCGCCGGGTAAGTTAAGGGACCGCGGCAGCAGCTTGGGGAGCTGCGGGAGGCTGAAGCTGGAGTTGGGCCGGTGGGGATGTGGGGGCCGGTCGGGAAAAACTAGTGTGACCAGCAGGGGCGAGCCGAGATGGGTCCCCACACCCCAAGTGTTCACGCAGGGTCAGACCCAGGGCTTTCCTCTCCCCACACCCATCTCCCGAGCCTCCGCCAACTGTTCCAGGAGCGGGCCGGCGGGTGGGTGTTTGTGTGGGCAGCTCCGGACATGGTCTGGAACACCTAGCTCAGGCATCTTGTTTACCACCCGGGTGGCCCTCGCCTGCCCCCACCCCATGCACAGACGGGAGGCAGCCTCCTGCTCCTAGATTCGTCCTCCGCTTGTTGGAACTGGAGCCTGAGGGCTCACCCCTGTGGACCAGGACCTGACAGTCACAGGCCATAGTTGTCTTAAGTGCTAGTTCCCACGCCCGAATTCCGTGTGCCCCTCCTGGAGGTGAAGAGTTAGGAGAGGACTGTGTACAGCGTGTTTGTTGACTGTGTCTTGGAGGTTCTTGCTGGGGTAAAGGCGGGTTATGGGGGGAGGCTAAGGGGTGGAGTAAGGCACCTGCACCGTGGCCCAGGCTTTGGACTGCAGTCCCCAGGTCTCTACCTCCCCGCGCTGTGCTGGACAGGCCCTGTGCTGAGCTTGCTGGTGGGATGAGCTCATGGATTGCTCACCACCACAGGCTTCTCTTAGGCATTTTCTGTGGTCCGGAGGAGGAAGCTGGGGGGTGTGGTTCCTCCAGGGTCACATGACTGGACAGGCCCATCTGGGATTGACTGCCCCTCAGTCCAATCCCTTGGGCCGTTGGGTCATCCTTCCAGGGATATGAGTGGAGTAACTCCCTATTCTTTCCCAGTTCCTGGTCCCAAACTTACCTGCTTCCCATCTCCAGGACTGCTCAGTTCCCTTGCAGACAGACTGATATTCCCTGGTATCCAAAAGGAAAACAGTGGAAGCTTCTTTCATAGAGACCTGGTCACATCTTCTCCCCATTCCTGGTCTGAGAGCCAAGAGGTCAGGGGTCATGGAGCTGTGGGCCTGTGGGGGAAGGGGTTGTGAGATGGAATGCCACTGGCTCTGGAGCTGGATGTGACTTGGCTTGTCTAGGCTGTTTTCTCCCCTACCCTGGTTCCTCATCAGATTGCCCAGCTCTTCTTTCTTTTCGACTAATTGCAAGGCTGTTACCAGGGTGTCCTGGGGACTTTGATTTGGGATCCACAGCACCTGAGGCAGGAGCCACAAACTGCTGGGTCAAGTGGTATCATCCAGTTCTCCTGGGTTTAATGATGGCTTGTCTCCTAATCCACGCCTCAGTCTCCCTGCAGTTCCCAGAATACCCCACCAGTAGCAACCCAGGCCCTGCCCTTCTCCCCTCTCTGACTGGCCTCAGCTGCCCCACGGAGAGAACTTTGCACTTGTTCTTTGTTCCCTTCACCTTTTTCTGCCATGACCTTTCCTTTGAGTCTGAGCACACATCTCAACGAGCCCATCTCCAGAAGGACCGCCCTTCCTCTGTCCCTGCAGGACTCTTTTGTGTTAGTTGGCATCACTGTTGCCTGGGACCTTTGCACTTTTCATTTGTTACTTCTACCCTGTGCTGCTGCCGCCATGTCTCTTGGGATAGATATACAAAGAGACCTTCTTTCCTGCCTGGATGGGTCTGGGTTGGCTGCTGGAGTTGCTGTGGCACAGACTGGATCCTCCTGGGGTTCACTTGGGCTATGTACTGAGGACAGGGGTGGGGGGGTACCATCTAGTCACTGCTGAAACGGGCGGAGACTGGTGGGAGTTGGCCCAGATGTGGAAGATGGAAGAGGCAGGGGCCTTGTCCACAGCGAGAGAAGAAGGCACTGACTTTTCAGTGAGAACTTGGGGTGCACAAATAGTGGGGATGAGGGCAGCAGGCAGGCGGCTCAAGAGCAATGTGACGTCACTGCCATACACTGGGTGTCTGCTGAGGCCAAGGAAGCAGTTCAGCTCTCTGGCAACTTCTGGCAGAAGTGACTGACCTTAGACGAGGTGGCGCAGGGAATTCCAGATGGCTGTATTTATGAAGATGGTATAACAAGGCGAAGGAGTGGGGGGCCTTGAGCGGGCAGGGAGATTTCAGCTGGGTGGTCAGGGAAGGCTTCCGGGAGGGCTGTGATCTGAATAATAAGAAATTAGCTGAGGCGAGGGTGGGGGTGTTCTAGGCCAAGAGGACAGCACATTCAAAGCTTTTATTGAGTATGTGCCAGGCTCCTGCTAAGTGCTTGAAACATTTTGTCTTCATGAGGGAAGGGAGTGAGGATGACCCTACTGTGGCGATAAAGAACCCTAGTGCCATCCAAAGGAGAGAAAAGCCTTGTCTCAGAGTCTCCCCATCACCCCCAGTTGAAAGTTCAGACCTCTTGGCCTGCCTTCAGGGTTTTTTGTTGTTGTTGTTTTTAATCTGGCTCCTTGGTTGGGCAGGGGGGAGCCCCAGCGTGTTCTCAGGTTAGGCTCCAGGGGATCTGGTTAGACAGAGGGTCAGAGTTTGGGAATTGGCTTGGCAAGGTCTGACCCGGGAGTTCATCATCGCCAGAGCCTTTGATGAACAATAGGAGCCTGCCAGGACACCTGAGCTGTGCTTGAGGTGATGACTCGAAAACAGGTGGTATTCATGTCTCTCTGTTCCCTCTTTTGGACCCTCCCTGCCCCTTGTCACCCTCCCCTCCCGTTTTTCAGTGAGCACTTTTCCCATGTTTGAACTCACACAAGCCCATGACCAGTGTGGGACCTGTGTGTTGTCATCACCAGTTGACATACAAGGAAACTGAGGCACTCTGGTTCTTTCTTCAAACGGATGCCCCTGCCAGTCATCCGATTCCCCTCTTTCTGAAGCCTGTGGGAGTGGTCCTCTGTCTCTTTGGCCAAGAATGTCTTTGCTGGAGAAGCTCGTGAGCTGCAGAGGCCATG